GTTTAGGGTTTGGGGTTTAGGGTTAGGGTTTAGAGTTTAGGCTTTTGGTTTAGGGTTTGTTTGGAGTTTGGGGTTTAGGCTTTAGGGTTCAGGGTTCAGGGATAGGGTGTAGGGTTTAGGGTTTGGGGTGTGGGGTAGGCTTATTATACGTAGTCTTGCTAGCCCAGAGGCTTTCCCCTGACTTTCCCTTCTAATGTAACCAAACCGGTACCTTTGTTGTTGTTTTATGGTTGCTGGGCTGCCGAGACCTGTCGCACTTATCGTACGATTTCGGGACTAGGTAGCTTACATATGCAGAAGTGCCAGAAGCAGGAGCATAAACTACACCTACGAGGAGATGCATGTGCTGTTGCATCCTACCCCCCAAACTGCATGAACACCCTCAACCCTAACCCCTAAACCCCAAGCCCGCAAACCACTGCACTGTTGAGTATGAGACATTCTTACGGTATGCGGTGCCTATTCCACAGTAGTAGCAAAAGTGGCAAGAAGAGTTTCGGGCAAACAGGTGGAGGGGTCGAGGAGGATGCTTTGGGTGGCAAGAACCCTCGAGCCGCTCCGACGCCCTAAACCCTGAAGCCTAAACCCCAAAAGCCCTAAACCCTAAACCCTAAACGCTAAGCCCTAACCCTCAACTCAGACCCTAAAGCCCCTGGGGGGCCTGGCAGGGGGAAGTGGCCCTGAACATCCCTAAACCGGATTCAAGGGGCTTGTCTACGCTTACCTCAGCGGCAAAGAGGGCCTGGGGTTGAGGGTTGAGGGTTGAGGGTTGAGGGTTTAGGGTTTTGGGGTTTTGGGGTTTGGGGTTTGGGGTTTAGGGTTTCGGGTTTAGGGCTTTCGGTGCATACTTTTGTCTAGCATGAACTCAACATGGCCAAGACTACAGCCTTTAGTGAACCCTTTGCTCCCTTTCCTTCGAGGCTAAGATTTCGGGTCCTTAGGGATTTATGGTGTGGTCTTCAAGGCCTAAACCCTAAACCCTAATAAACCCTAAACCCTAAACCCTCAACCCTAAACCCTAAATAGAGTTTTGGGTTCAGACCAAGGCTCCGCTTGAACGCCACGAAGGCTGGTGATGATGAGTCCTTTGCCGAGGCGGCGATGCGAATCCTCCAAGAGACCACGGTTTCGGGTTTAGGGTTTAGAGGGTTTAGAGTTTATAGGGTTATAGGGTTATAGGGTTATAGGGTTATAGGGTTTAGGGTTTAGGGTTTAGGGTTTAGGGTTTAGGGTTTAGGGTTTAGGGTTTAGGGCCAACCCTGAAGCCTTCGTTTAGAGCTTAGGGGCCCAAAAGTCTAAACCCTAAAGCCAGCACCCCAGGCCGAAATCCTGAACCTACACTGACTGAAATTCGCCACGCCCCGTGAAGTCCTCCCGCTATCTTCGTGTAGAAGTTCATATCTGGAGTCGAAGTTCGGGCATCGCATCTCCGGGTTTAGGGTTTAGGATTCAGGGTTTAGGGTTTAGGGTTTAGGGTTTGGGATTTAGGGTTTGGGCTTGGGGGTTGGGGGTCTAGGGTCTGAAGATGAGGAGATGTCGGGATTACTGGAGCTCCCAGGGGTTAGGGCAGTTGGGGCTTCTGATCCCTGAATGCAGGGTGCCTGTAGTCGTGTGTGTCTACAGAGCTTGGGACGGAAGGCTTCGGGCAGCTTCGGGCATAACAGGGTTCTAGAACCCGAAACCCTAAACCCCTAAACCCCTAAACCCTAACCCTAAACCCTAAACCCTACACCCTAAACCCTAAACCCTAAACCCTAGACCGGAAGCAGACCTTTAGGCCCCAAGATCGACGCAAGTAGGTCGCAGACTCCGAGCTGTAGACGTCTCGAGCCATGAGCCTGCCCGCCTTTGTAAAGCCAAGTCTTGAGGATGAGGTTGAGAGCATCCTGGCCGGGTTTAGGGTTTAGGGTTTAGGGTTCAGGGTTCAGGGCACCTTCTCTCTACACAAAGAAATGATGTACACAGTACGAGACATGATCGATCGAACCTGGATTCCGGTGGTTTCAATTCCGGACGAAACCCCAAGCCCCGAGCCCCGAGCGCTAAGCCCTAAGCCCTATAAGCCCGAAGCCCCAAGCCCCAAACCTTAAGCCCTGAGCCCTCACAAGCCCTAAACCAACGCCTCCTAGCCGAAGAAGCCCACGTCTTGGCTCTTCGTCTTAATCGTAAAGTTTCCATTCCAGAGCCCTTTTTCTCACTTCGGGACTTCCCAACTAACCTGGCAAGTCAACCCTCTCACTGGTTAGAGCCTTGTTTTCTTGTTTGGAGGGGTGCCAGATGGGGGTGTACGAAAACAGGGGACCCCTGACATGGAGCCCCAAATAGTAGGATTCCTTTATAGCCAGGCCCCAATAAGGTACCCCCAATATCGTAAACCCCCATACATTCATGGCTTCCCAGAAACCTTCATGGTTGAAAAGGGCTGGAGGGTTTGGTGCCCGGGTGAGATTGCCGAGAGCACATGATTTGCGTATTTGCGTAGATGCATATACATACATATACGTATGTATAATGCTTGGAGATATAGTTTTTTATCATGCTTATATATGTATATATATATATGTGTATATATATATATATAGATGTATATATACATATGTACGTATGCATACACACACAAACACAGAGACACAGGGGTAATCTCGTAGTCTCCAGAGAGCCAAACACCCCTTCAGATTCAAGAGCATGCCTTAGACGATAGCGGGAGGGGGGGGGGGGGGGGGCGTCCTGGTGATGGTTTAGGGTTTAGGGTTTAGAGTTTAGGGTTTAGGGTTTAGGGTTCAGGGTTCAGGGTATGTGTTTTAGGCCGATCTTAAGTGGTGTCGGCTCTCTGGGTGTTTGATGGCCCCCAAGACTCTGGCGACCCCATGCGCGATGAGCTGCGCCCCGCAAGGGTGCGCGTGCGTAGCTCCCAGCGTCACTCCTAGAAACCCGGAGCTCCGAAGGCTTCTTTGCTTCTTCAAACACAGGCCCAACGTACACACTAACGGAGGGAACTGAACGAGCCCCAGCGTCCCTGCCAGGGTTTAGGGTTTAGGCTTGAGGGTTTAGGGTTGAGGGCTTAGGGATTGGGGTTTAGGGTTTAGGCTTTTGGGTTTAGGGTTTTTTCGGGTCTTTAGGTTTCGAAGCACGTGCCCCTGGGTCACTGAGGCACCGCTGCGTCGGATTGCAGCGTGCCACAAGCCGAGGAGCGGTGGTTTAGGGTTTGGGGTTTGGGGTTTCGGGTTTGGGGTTTGGGGTTTAGGCCTTGGGGGGGGGGGGGGGGGGGGGGGTGGTTTGAGGTATGTGGAGCGTTTGGCGGGCTGTAAGATGGTGCTTCATGGGCTCAAACCCGAAGCCTCATGCTAACAGTCCTGAATAGGGCCTATAACAAGGGGGGGGGGGGGGGTGCTGTACTCTTACCGCTGTTCAGGACTTTTAGTAGAAGGGGGAATATCCCAACCCTAAACCCTAAACCCTAAACCCTAAACCTTAAACCCTAATCCCTAAACCCTAAACCCTAGGCGAATTCAAGAGGGAACGCCTAGTGGTAGCAGGTGGAGCATCCCAACCTCGATCCTTAAATCCCCCAAGCCCTGGGTGCCTGTATCCCCACACCCCAAAAACCGACGTGATAGTGCCCCCCCGTGTTCTTTGGGGGTGAGGGTTGAGGGTTTTGGGTTTAGGGTTTAGGGTTTAAGGTTTAGGGTTTAAGGTTTAGGGTTTAGGGTTTAGGGTTTCGGGTTTGGGGTTTGGGGTTTGGGGTTTAGGGTTCAGCGTTAGGGTTTAGGGTTCAGGGTTCAGGGTTTAGGGTTTAGGGTCCTCCCCTCTTCCCCCCCTCCCCCCCCCCTCCCCACCCATGCCAAACAAGAGGGTGGACAAAGAAAAGCCTCACGCCTTCTCCCTGCCAGAAGCCTGAAGGTGGATGTGTCGGGTTTAGGGTGCTGGGGTTTAGGGTGCTAGGGTTTGGGGTTTAGGGTTTCGGGTTTAGGGTTTAGGGTTTAGGGTGCTAGGGTGCTTGGGTGCTAGGGTGCTAGGGTGCTGGGGAGCTAGGGTGCTGGGGTTTAGGGTTTAGGGTTTCGGGTGGCTTTGAATTGTAAAGCCTTATGTCGGACATTGACCTTGACTTGTTGTTGCGGTGGTTCGGTTTACATGCCTTGCATTTCTTGGTAGCCCGATGGTTTGCTTTTGCCTTTCTTCGGGGTTCTCGGCTCCAGTACCAAAGTGGGTGGTTGTCAAAATCTTGGTCCCTTTTTGGATCCCTATTGTAATTCGGCACCTAATATTTAGGGTACCCCAAAAGGGATCATAATTTTGACTGTTTGCCTGGCCGCATCCGAACGCCCCAACCCCACACCACACCCCACACCCCACACCCCTATAACCCCAAACCCCAAACCCCCCCAACCCCAACCCCCTCGGCATCTGCGGTTTTCGCAGGACTCCGGCTCATCTCGCGTGCCCACGCCAAGTGGCGAAGCCGTGGAAGAGACGGAAACTTCAGAGGCAGCTTCGGGTTTGGTTTGCATGTTTTTTTTGTTTTTTGTAAACAAACAAATGTATATACGTATACAGCTTTATGGGGTCTGGCTTCGGAACTTCTACGACTAGGTCTCAGACAATCTTTGGGTTACCTCAACACCAGATGCAGAGAACCGAAGACTCTCAGTCAAAGCTATCCATTTTTCCGCCCCTAAACTTTAATCCCCAAAGCCTAAAACCCTAATAACAGATTTGAAAACCCAATGCCCTAATGAACATGAATAGCTGCATTTGCGTATATGTAGATGAGCGGAGTGTTTGTAGTTGCGGTGCCGCATCTCTATCTCCGCAGTTTTTGTTCATCAGCTTGAGCTTGAGAGCTGGGCCCTGCTGCAGCTCGGGGCCCCTGGGCCACGTGTGCCTGGTCTCCTTGATGGAGCCAGGTATCGAAACGTGGTTTCGGGGGCCAAATAGAGACAGAGCATCATTGGAGAGGGCTATCAATCAGGCAGGGTATCAGTACATGCACTTCAAGTGCCATGATGACCGCTGGCGTGGTCAAGGAGAGGCCCTCTTACATGTGCAAAAGAGGTTTTTGCTTGACAGCAAGGGAGGTTTTGTTCAGGGGAGCTACTTAGGGGCCTCCGACGGGTACTACAAGCATTATGTGGACCACAAGGGGGAGCCCAATTGCTTGCCTGATGGGACCTTTCATCACCTGTGCTTGTGCAGAGCCAAGGATTGTCCTGCCAGGACTCGTGAAGGATTCGTCATTCATATTGACGAGTGGCAGTGGGTTAGTCCTTCCCAAGTGAAGCGTTTGCTGAGGGATTGGGGTTATAGGCAACTTCCCCTTCTTGAGGCTGAGCCTGCTTCAACACGGGACCAAGAGCGCAAGGGACACGCGCCTGTTCCACACTCTGACTCAGAGGCTTCGGAAAGCCCAGCGCGCCTTAGTGTTGAAGCTGAGGCGCCTGGCGAACGCCCACCTGCCCTCAACAGGCGGGGTCGGCGAGCCCGTCGGACCCGTTCGAAGCGAAAGCCTGAAGTCCAAGTTGCGAATGCGCTAGATGAGGTGCTGTGCACAGACGACTTGGAGGCTGACCCTCCGCTTCGCCGCAGCAAAGCGACCTTCCTGTCGGAGGGACTCGACAAGTTGCGCCAGCAGCTGGGGCACAAGGATAGCGCCCAGGAGCGTAAGAGAAGCCAGGACACTGCAACGGCCCTTGCTGAAAAAGCAGCGTCGGCTGCCGCCAAGAAGCCCCCAGCCAAGAAGCCTAGAACTAGCGGTTTAGCTGCAAGTTTGCGCAAGGCCTTGAAGCGGGAGGAAACTGCAACGGATGAGGAGGCGGGAGATGAAGGTGAGGAAGCCGACGAGGACTCAGAAATCTTCGCAGGCCTGCATAGTCGACGCCAGAAGCTTAGGACGCTGGCCAAGCTGCAGCCTGGCAAACTTCTGGTTGCCGGCATGCAGAACTTCGCAGAGCAGTTAGGACAAGCATTTGGGGAGGCGTCCGATGATCCCTTGCGCCCGCTCGCAGTACGTTATCTGCTTTCGGTTGTTGCTCCGACGTACCCAGGACAGACCCTGTCTGACAGTGACTACCGGGAGCTTAGGAGCTTGGCAGAGATGCTTGACCAGCTGGTCCGCGGGGAGACGGCCACGTTAGGCGATTTCTTGATGCAGCGATTCAAGGCAAAGCTTATGGCAACTCGCGATGCCTCATGGAGTGCGGCCAAGTATCTAGAGCTGATTCCCATTGATCCTATCCACCATGGCACAACAGTGGAGGAGGAGGAATGGGTACGTAATATAAGGATCCGTGAAGCCAAGCTGGACGAGGCCCTGCGCAAGTCGCGCTAGGGACTCCGCGGGGAGAGGACCGACCCGACCCCTCCTTATCGCGACCCAGCCATGCATCAAGGGTCCGACAACCTGGCAGCAGCCAGGAGCACCAGCAGCACCAAAGCAGAGGAAGACCTGCAAGTGACCGTCAGCAAGTTTCCTCGGGTGAGGCCTCCGCCTCCTGCCCGTCGCCAGCGCAACGAACAGGGCCAGGAACTCAACGACACTCGCCGGCAAGTCACGTATGCGCAAGGGACCAAGACTGCCAATGGACCGGGGCGGTTAGGCCAGAGCCACAATCCCGGAAAGGAGCACAGGCAGCCTGGTCAGCTCGCACTTCCGGCTCCAGCTGGAACAGAAGCCCCTGCCGGTCGGATGAGCGCATGGAAAAAGGAAACTCCTCGCAAGCAAGGGGAGTCACGCCGCAACTGGAAGAAACGAGTCTTCCAGCAACACCGACAGGGGGGCAAAAGCAGGGAGGACAGTCCACTCAGCGTGGACATGGACGATCTGTAACTCACACCCCGCATTTTGCGGGAAACCCTTCAAGCGTCCAGAGCACCAGCCTGGTCATTCAGGGATTGCCAGGTGCCGGTGCGGGGGTGCTGCAGGGTGGTTTTGTCAATGATGGTCAGCCTGCCATGAGCACAGGTTCCTCGCCTAGTGTGGGGCCAATGTCCGGGATGCCTTCCAAGCCGCTGCCCCTGTCAATCTCTCACTGGCGTGAGACGTTTGGCGGTGAGTCGCAACAGACAGCCACGCTGCTTGAGTTGACACTTTGGCTTTTTGAAGCACTCAGGTCATGCCCAAAAGGTGTGGGCGTTCTCGCCAGAAAGAGTTTATCGTCAGTTGCTGTGCCACCGGAAGTGAGGGAGAGGAACCGCGACCTACTGCCTCTACCCTTGCCTTCTTTGAGTAACCTGAGTAGCTTGCAGTGCCTGTTGCAGGGCACATACCCTAAACTCACATTGTGGGAGTCAGTAGCTGCGTGGCTGAAAGGACCCAAACGACGCCAGCAAAAGAAGGATCGGGCCATCAGAGTTTGTTGCGAGGTTTGGGAGTGGATTGTCTGCTTCTCTTTGAATGGCGAATTCAGTGGCTGGCAGCCCTGTCGGCTACGGCCACACGTGACAGCAACAATAGGGCAAACCAAAGCTTTAACCGCCATGCGTGAAGCAATAGCGCACTTCTGCTCTTCGCCTGCCCTGCAGGTCACATTGCCAAACTTCGGGGAGTTGATCAAATCCCGGCGCATCAGCTATGACAACGAGGAGGTGTCGGTTGCCTTGCCTCTTGTTTTGGGGGAGCTAGTGCCTGGTTTGCCTAGAACAGGGGTTGCTGGGTCCCTGCTCGCTGTTGATTTTGCGACGGGGGTAGTTCAGGACTGGCTGTCAAAACCGGAAGAGGCACTTCTTCCCTGTGAACGCTGGCCCTCAAAAATCCCCAAAGCCCGTATTCAGTGCAGCTATGAAGAGTGGTGCCGAGTAGCCCAGCACATGCATCAGCTGGGTATTCTCAGGGCCATCGACAAAGCAGACATTCTTCATGTTAACGGGAGGCCTGTTTTAAATGGTGCATTCGCAGTCCTGAAGAAGGGCGAGCCAAGCGAGGGGTTCCGTAGGGTAACCCGTTTCATTATGAACATGGTTCCCGGGAACACATATCAAAGACCTCTTCGCGAGGAAGTGGCGACTCTGGCAGGCGCTCCAACCTGGTCTAACATTGTGTTGCAGAGCGGGGAAGTCCTGCTCTGGTCATCGGAAGATCAGAAGGGTGCCTTCTACGCGTGGCAGCTCCCGTCAGGATGGGGCAAATACATGACGTTTCATTGGCCCGTGCCATGTGAGCTTTTAGGCCTTGCGGGAACAGGCAAAACGCATGTCTGTGCGGCAGTTATTCCCATGGGTTGGGTCAACGCCGTTCCATTGTTTCAACATCTGCATAGACAACTCGGACTGAACCCAGCCTGTGGGGCTGACCTCCCGCCTGATTTTGAGTGGAGACGTGACCGCCCCTGGCCCCTGCAGGCGCAGTCCTGGTACCAGTACTATCTGGACGATTTCGACGCGGTGGAGATATTCGAGCCGGAGACAGCGCCTCCAGAGGGGAGTCCTGCGGATTTTCAACTCCAACAACGGCGCGCGTACAGCTTGGCAGGCGTGCAAATTGCTACTGACAAAACTGTGCAGAGAGCAACAAAAGTCGAACGCATGGGCGGCTCGGTTGACGGAGTCGTTGGCCGAGTAGGCGTTACTGCAAGTAAGATGCTGGAAATCCTAGCCTTTGCTCGGTATGTCTTGGGGCGTCAGCGCCTCGGCAGCCGGGTTTGGTTAATGCTACTGGGACGCCTTGTACGCATTTTCGAGTTTAGGAGGCCGCTCCTAGGTGTACTTAACCGGGTGTGGGAGCACGGATCTCTGCAGCGGCTGGTGTGGCTGCGACAGAAGGATGCAGACGAAGTTCTCATTGCCTTAAGCTTGCTGCCCTTAGCGTTTTCTGACCTCCGGGCCCCTATCTCTGATATGGTGACTGTGAGTGATGCATCTATGGAAGGCGGTGGTCACTGTCGCAGTGCAGGATTAATGGAGACTGGTCAGCAGGCACTGGACTCGGCCTCTCGCGATGGGACGCATGCTTTTCACCCACTGGATTCCATGCAGCATGGTAGGCAAGTCTCCTCCGGGGCGCCTAGAGTATTCGTGATATCACTCTTTGATGGCATCGGCGCACTCATGGTGGCGTTAACGCAATTGCCTGTTCTGGTGATAGGATATGCAGCTGCAGAGCGGGATGCCGACAGCAAGAAGCTGGTGAGGAAGCGCTGGCCGGGTGTGCTGGAGCTAGGTCCGGTGGAGCACCTTACCTCCAACTTGCTAGAACAGGTATTCACGTCTTCGGGTTACGAGTATGACTTTGTGTTAGTGGGTGTCAGCAGTCCTTGTCAAAGCCTCGTTGCGGGCAGCAAGGATCAGCGGGCTGATGCTGTCAAATTGCAGCTGTTCCACGAGGGGTTGCGTGTAATCAAAAATGCGCGAGAAGCGCAATCTAAACCGGTCCATTGGTTTGTTGAAAACCTGGGTGACCTACCTGAAGACATTGTCAGAAGCTTCAATGCCACCCTGCAGGTCAAGCCATTCCACATATGCGCTTCTTGGTTTTCCTACTGCGAGAGACCTCGCCTTTACTGGTGTTCCTGGGCGTGGACATCTCGTGATGCCATTGCCCCGTACGATGAGGACGACCTCATGAGGCGCGTCAGGCCGCCTTGCTTTAGAAGGGGTCCACAGCACTGGGTTGAGCAAGGCAGCGTGTGGCTGCAGCAAGACAACACCTTGCTGCCGGCACTTTCGCAAGCCCATGTTTCTGTTCACCCCCCAAAACACGCCATTGTGCAAAATGCTTCAGCTGAAGCCATCAATCGTTGGAGAGCTCACTTGCACGTGTTCCCAGTCCAGCAGTTTGAAACCACGTGCCTTGTTCAGGACCCTGTGTCGGGGCTGAGGGTTCCTTCAGTCTGTGAAAGGGAACGGCTCATGGGGTTCCCTGAGGGTTATGTGACAACTGGGCTTAGCGATAAACTCTCTCAGCAGGAATTTTTCGTTCAAGCGTGTTGCATGTTAGGCAAAACGTTTCATGTGCCAACTCTAGCCTTGCTTTTGTTTCCAGTTCTGCAGCAATACGCAGCTTCAAAACTCACTTGGAAACCTGAAACTTTGCACTGGCCCGGTACTGCTCCGGCTGGCTGGGTTAGTGAGCCAAGTTTTGTCCGTTCGCCACCAGAGAGTGAAGACAGCAAACGGCTTGTGCTGCAATACCTCAAACGGGCTGATAAGTCTGGCGCAGACGTGAGGGTTGAACTGGGCATTCCGTTCCGGTCTAAAGAGTGGCCCAGGAGCGGGCTGCAGGCTCGCTACTGGCGCTGGGCGGTAGTGCAAGGTTACCCCTGGAAGAACACGCACGCTCACATTAACCAACTTGAGCTTTCTGCAGTGCTGAATTGTTTTCGGTGGCGACTGAGGAAAGTGCAGAACCTGCGGGTTCGCTGCCTACACCTGGTAGACAGTCAGGTTTGCTGCAGTATTTTAGCTAAGGGCCGCACAAGCTCCCGTAAACTCCAGTTTGTCCTGCGAAAGCTGAATGCACTTTTGTTGACTGCAGGAGTGGTGCCGGCATTTGGGTATGTCCACAGCGCGGACAATCCTGCAGACCTGCCCTCACGATGGTTAAGCAGGACCCCCTCAAGAAAGCGCGTCAAGCGCAACGTCAAGGCTGCACGCTGAAAGATTCGCTAGTTAGTTCCCAAATGCGGCGTCGCTACGCCTCTGCAGTCGCGGTTCTGCTGGAGTTTTGGAAGTTGCATCAATGTGGGCCACGCGTCTTGGAGCAAGTGGATGCAGCAGTGGCAATGTTTCTAGAGCACGTCTTTTCCGAAGGCGAACATAAATCGCTCAGCAATGACACGTTGGCCGGATTGCAGTTTTTCATGCCGTCAATCAGAAAGCGACTGCACTACTCATGGAAGCTGTGCAAAGTTTGGCATCGCATTGAGCCGCCTCAGCGAGCAGTCCCCATTAATCCGCACTTGCTGGCAGGTTTCGCGGGATTAGCGTGGGCAGGTGGCTATAGGGCAATAGCTGCTGCTTTGTTGGTGGGTTTTGATGCCATGTTGCGCACCGGCGAACTGTTGCAGGTCAGGATGCAGCACATTTCTTTCATCAAAGGTCGGGCTGTCCTTTGTTTGCCTTCCACAAAAACGTCTAAGCGCTCGGGCAACCAGGAGATGGTTGTTGTGGAGAGCGTTTTGGCTAATGCAGCGCTGCGGTGCGTTGTTTGTGAATCCTCCGGCCTGCTCTTGCCTGACGGAGCAGCTCACTTCCGAAAAGTCTTTCATGCTTTGTGTCGTGCTTTTGATCTTGATTTTCACGTCACGCCGTACTCCTTGCGTAGGGGCGGTGCCACGTATGCCTTCCTGCTGCATGGTAGCATGGAAAAGTGTTTGTTGCGTGGCCGTTGGGCCAGCTCTTCTTCAGCCAGAATCTATCTGGCCGATGCGATTGCCACAGTTCGTTTCCTGCAGCTGTCACCCAAGCAGCTGGGTTTGGCCGCTGCTGCAGCAGAGGCCCTTAAGCTGAATCTCGGCCTCTAGGCCAAATTTCGGGGTCCGTGGATAAGGATTCATTCTTTGTCCAAATCCCTCTGTTTGAGTATGCCCGGAGTTGCATTGTGTCTAGCCGGGCTGCCCGGGCTGGAGGAAAGGATTTGAGACATGTGAAATCTTTGTACCAGACTGCATCTCTATTCCTCGACCAAAATCGGTCAATTCAGAGACGCAGTTCAAGTGACCAACCCCTGGCACAGCAAAAGAGTTCTGTGCGAAGTGAATCTCCATGAATAGCTGCATTTGCGTATATGTAGATGAGCGGAGTGTTTGTAGTTGCGGTGCCGCATCTCTATCTCCGCAGTTTTTGTTCATCCCGGCCCGGCCCTCCCATTCGCACGCTTGCGTGGCATTGGGTTGCTGGATAGGGGATAAGGATTCATTCTTTGTCCAAATCCCTCTGTTTGAGTATGCCCGGAGTTGCATTGTGTCTAGCCGGGCTGCCCGGGCTGGAGGAAAGGATTTGAGACATGTGAAATCTTTGTACCAGACTGCATCTCTATTCCTCGACCAAAATCGGTCAATTCAGAGACGCAGTTCAAGTGACCAACCCCTGGCACAGCAAAAGAGTTCTGTGCGAAGTGAATCTCCATGAAGTCTGCTACCCTAAGCCCTAATCCCTCCAACAAGACCTGATGCCAGGGAGTCTTCCCACACCCGTCCACGCAGGCTGGAAAAGTGGTGGTGCGCGGAACGCCTCTCGCCCTGGTGAACTTGCATAGGGGTTTAGGGCTTAGTTTTTTTTTTTTTTTTTGGGGGGGGGGTGGGGTTGGCATGTTCCCCCTTATGCTAACAGTCCTTAACAGGTGGCGGTGAATTCAGGCTAGCTTTCGTTGTGACCTTAAGTAAGTATAAGCAGTCAAAATGTAATCCAGTATACACATATATAGATATCGCAAGACATGGCTATAGAGATATACCCTACACCATGCACCCTAAACCCTCCCCCCTCCCGCTTCAAAAAAACCTTCGGTTCTTATCAGGGAATGAGGGAGGTTAGGGGATCATATAGGCTTCTAGGGTACCTCGTTCCCTCATTCCCTTCATATATATATATATATACCCTTTAGGGGATCATATAGGCTTCTAGGGTACCTCGTTCCCTCATTCCCTACCAAGAGCCAGCCAGACCCCCCCCCCCCCCCCCCCTCAAAGGTTCCTCCACGTCGAGGATGACAGTGGCCTGCGTGCCCGCTTCCGCTCCATGCGAAAGCTGAAGACGGACTCCGCAGTGGCAGGCAGGGATGAGTAGGTTTGGGGTTTAGGGTTTAGGGTTTAGGGTTTAGGGTTTAGGGTTTAGGGTTTAGGGTTTAGGGTTTATTGGGTTATCCTAAACCCTGCAAACCCTACACCCTAAAACCTAAACTGCCCTAAACCCTATACCTATATCTGGGGGCAGAGGGGGGAAGAGGGGGGATTTGAAGGCCCCTCTTGTGCGTAGGGGATCCTCTGGGAGCGAACAGAGAATCGTAGAAACTGGCTTACAGGGTTTAGGGTTTAGTGTTTTTTAATTAGGGCTTAGGGTTTGTTATCGCCGGTCAGCCATATGGTCTGGAGTTCAGGTCCTTGGGATGTAACATCCAAGAATCGCAACCGTTAACCAGTGAACAGCTACTGGGAGCTCTTTGTCTAACCTTATCTACCCTTCCAAAAGTTTCCCCGCCACTCCTTGACCCCCCGACTCTCACAACCCCATCGTTAACACGCGAACCCGGGGTGTCGCCACACTTGCGAGCCAGTGGTACCCTTTGCCCTTTTTGGGAGGTTCAAGGTTCAAGCTTCCCTTGTAAAGTACACAACCAACCCCCCAAGAAGGGTATCCTTATGGTAAGATGGCTACTGTCATCCTCTTAACCCACCTTCGGGAGCCATGTATCCCTGACCAGTGAACTGCCCTAAACCCCAAACCCTAAACCCTAAACCCTAAACCCTAAACCCTAAACCCTAAACCCTAAACCCTAAACCCTAAACCCTAAACCCTAAACCCTAAACCCTAAACCCTCTCCCTTTTCACACCTTGAAGCCTTTTCACGCATCCTACCGCTAGGGCTTGATGCACGGGTCTTCCGCCTTCATCTCCCAGTCTTGGGGCTTTTTTTCTAGTGACCCTAAGGGTCCATGTACCTTATTATTATATACTTGGGCCCCAAAGTCCCTATATAGGAAGTACTTTAAGGCCCAAGTATATAATAATGAGGTACATGGACCCTTAGGGTGAAGAAGACTGGCTAGCGAGGAGGGACGTGGAGGGGCCCGTGCAGGGCGAGGAGGGTTGAGGGTCAGAGGGAGAGAGGGCGATTGAGAAGCATGAACCTCCAACCCTGCACCCCCGGAGACCCTAGACCCTAGATCTTGACCTAACCCTTCCTAACCTGAACCGAAAACCCTCAACCCTACAACCTATAGCCCGATAAACCCGATAAACCCGATAAACCCTAAATCCTAAACCCTAAACCCTAAACCCTAAACGCCAAAAGACAACCTACAGGGGTCTTCGATGAGCTCGATGCCTATGAGCCGGGCAAGTTGAGCTCGGAAGCCGCCAGGGAAGAGGCCTCCCACGTGGAGGCCCATGGGGTTTAGGGTTTAGGGTTTAGGGTTTAGGGTTTAGGGTTTAGGGTTTAGGGTTTAGGGTTTAGGGTTTAGGGTTTAGGGTTTAGGGTTTAGGGTTGAAGATACATGCCTTGCTCGTTCCTCGGATCGAGGGTTGTGCTCGGAGATCCTGGGGCCTTCCTGTCGTGGCCCACGGTTTGCTACTTAAAGGATCAAGGGACCTAGTACTTGGTTGCCCTGTGGTACCCTTCACCTTTTTTTGGTTCAAGGTTCCCTTATAAAGTAACCAACCAAATCAAGGGTGCCCTTATTGCAATGTTGTTACCGGGCTACCAAGTAAAGGATCAAGGGACTTAGTATGTAGGAATCTAATAGGGCAACTACAGCTACAATTGCTTATAACCCCCATTAGGGTACTTCGAACCCTACTTACTAAGTCCCACAACCCCCTTGGGCCTAGTGCTCCAAAACAATGTTTTGCGGGTTGCAGGCGTTCATGAACCTCCTGCGGGCCATGAGAAGCTTGAGGACCCAAAAGCCCTAAACCCTAAGCCCTAAACCCTAAGCCTAAACCCTAAACCCTAAACCCGAAACCCTAAACCCTAAACCCTAAACCCTAAACCCTAAGCCTAAACCTAGTACCGGAAGCCCAAAATCCTGCCGGACGCTGGCCTCCAGGGCTCCGAGCGGCGATGATGTTTACAGGGTTTAGGGTTTAGGGTTTGGGGTTAGGGGTTTAGGGGTTTTTAGGGTATAGAGCTTCGGTTTCAAACCCCCAAACCCCCACCTAGAGCAAGCCGTTCGATCTTTTGAAAAAGTGGGCCCGTGCCTGCTGGGCTGCTGGGCTGCTTTTTTTCGACAACATGAAGGAGCAACACTTAGAACACTTAGAGCACTTAGCTTAAGCCCTGAAACCTGAACCCTAAACCCTGAACCCTAAACCCTGAACCCTGAACCCTAAACCCTGAACCCTGAACCCTAAACCCTGAACCCTAAACCTAAGCCCTGAACCCTAGAGAAAACTTGGCAGGCAGCGAGCACGCCCCCTGCTGTTGCGCCGCAGCAGCGCACCGCCAGGGCCAAGACCGCAGCCGGGAAGACCACTGCGCCTGACTTGCAAAGGGGGGGTTTAGGGTTTAGGGTTTAGGGTTTAGGGATTAGGGTTTAGGGTTTAGGGTTTAGGGGCTAGGAGGGGGGTTTTGTTGCTTCAGATGTGGCTACTGTAGGGTTCAGGGGCAGTGTTCAGTGGCGGAGGGGTTTAGGGTTAAAAGTTCGGTTTTCGTAACGCTATTCAGCAGCATTAGTTTGTTTATTCTTTGGCTGGGCCTTCTGCGCTGCTACTCGGCACACTGCTTGTGACCATGGGTTCAAGAACCATAGCCTCTCATTTTGTATTAACTACTAATCACAGTTTTTTGTTACTGCTTAGTCATGACGATGAACCTCCAATTACTGCTTGCAACATACTGCATAAGCCTCGCTAATTACTAGCTACGGACTACTATTGACGGTTGGCTAACTACGAATTACTAGTTGCGAAGCTTTAAGTACTGAGATGCAAGTGTTGCTTACACGTGGCTATGTATTGAGTTCTAAGTTCTACTGAAAAACTACTAAGCATGACCTTACAATAATCCATTGCCAGCTTTTTTGTGTGTATTTCCAGTTGTTCGCAGGTACGAATGATGTTTTGCAGGTGTTCGTCATTAGTTACTAAGTGATGAATACTAAGATGATTTTTAAGTCACTAAGCAATCATCTTTATTTCTGCTTCTTGCTTGTTGGTTGTTTATAACCTAGTCATCACTTGGCAACGACCATATTCTTTGTTTTGCTTACTCATGATTTTTTGTGTTTTTCTTTGACGGTTAATGACTCATTTACGACTTCGAATGACTAACTTTAACTACAAGCGCCTAACCCTTAAAATGAGTTGCCAATTACTAAACACGAAGTACTATTGGTAAACAAAACAAGTCATGAATTAGCTCTTGTTCGTGAATCACACACATTAATTACTAGCTTCGCATCAAGCTTGGTACTTCAGTTGTTGGTTGTTGTTGCTTCCTTCAGGGATATTCAGTATTAAAACACTACTGAATATTCCTATAGCAAGAGATAAGTATCAAGTAGCTAGTACGATTCGGTACTGCAATGGCATTTCAGTATCTTGCTAAACTTGCCCAAGCACGACCTGTCACTGAGCCAAATTGACAACCATTGTCCTCTTCCTGCAACCTGTCAGTACTGGCACGATTAGCCATGTGGGTTTACTTTTGGGGGGCGGGGGTGGGTGGGGGATTGGGTAGAAAGGCATTTCTACTGGAACCCCTTTTTCAACTTTGCACCCTCTTGTGATAGGGTAGGTTTCAATAAAAATGCCCAGTAAGCAAAATAAGCAAAACAGGGTATCTGCATTGTCTAGAGTGCCAGGTAATGCTGCGTAACATTCCCAACAACTACTCGCGTGACATGGTGATCGAGCTGTTGGACGAGCATGGCTTTGCAGGCCCATGCCGACAGTTGACTTACACGCGTTTAGAGGATTTAGGGCCCCTACTAACTTTGAATCGCAGGTGAGAGCATGTAGGGGTGTTGTCATCTGATGTGTGGACTGTGTGGACCATGGGACGCCCTTGCTGGCTACGAGACCACCTTGGAATGAAATCCCGAATCCCGAACGTTTCTCACCGATTCGTTTCCTTCAAGTCCAGAATTTCGGGCAGCACCGGGATGAGCCACGATGGAAAGGATAACATGGTCCAATGTCAGCAAACGACCCTAAACCATGTATACCCGGAGAGCCCAATACCTCTTGACAAAGGAATTTGATGCCCTAATTCATGTCAAGATGGAATTTGATGCCCTAAACCCTAAACCCTCAATTGCGCTTTGAGGCATGTTGCCGAATCAAGGGGTCTTGGGCTCTCCAGTACCGTATTTGCTGGCTACTTGCCGCCAAGACGGCAGTAGATGTAGCGTTCCAACTCACGGCTGGGGTTGGGGTTTAAGGTTGAGGGTTGAGGGTTGAGGGTTTTATGGTTTTAGGGTTTAGGGCCTAGGGCTTAGGGTTTAGGGTTTAGGGTTTAGGGGCCATTGGGAGAGGGGGAGGTCTCATGTTTAGTTGCAAAAACGTTTTGGCTTTCAGGTTAATCAAGAGATAACAGGAGTCGAGCCCTTTGCAGGCTTCAGGATTAGGAGTGATGGGTTTAGGGTTTAGGGTTTGGGGTTTAGGGTGTAGGGTTGAGGGTGGGTCCGGGTTTTGTTTTTTGCAAAGGTGTTGCTCGGCCCTGTCCCCTTGCAAAGGTGTGGCTTGGCTTGGCTTGGCTTGGCTTGGCTGGGCGTGTCCTCTGACCTGGCTTGGCTTGGCTTGGCTTGTCTGGCTTGGCTTGGCTTTGGTTGGCTTGGCTCGGCTTGGCTTGGCTCGGCTGGGCTTGGCTTGGCTCGGCTTGTCCTCTGGCTCGGCTTGGCTTGGCTTTGGTTGGCTTGGCTCCTTGGCTTGGCTTGGCTCGGGTGGGCTCGGCTTGGCTTGGCTTAGCCTGGCTGGCTTGGCTTGGCTTGGCTCGGCTCGGCGTGGCTTGGCTCGGCTTGGCCTGGCTTGGGTGCCCACTTCGTTTTGATTTCCCTGTTCTCCCCAGTCGCAAAGATTCTTTTTACCGCGATGTAGCTGTAGCTGGTAGAAATACGTGGAGTGTATATATGTAGTATGCCGGTCCTGAAAACCCTGTTGACCTGTCTACTTGTGCGCGATCAGCTTTTGGTACTTCCCCCCCCCCCATCCCCCAGCACGTTAAACCCTCGCTGTTGCAAAACACGTCCTACCGTGCTTGGAGGCCTACTTGGATACCCTACATAAGAATCTTTTTGAAACCCATGATGCAAGCATTGAGTTTGCAAATGGCTGCGCCCCCCCCCCAAACCCCCCCGCTTTTTTAAGCCGTGCAAGCTTGCGTCAAAGCATATGAGTCTTGTTGAAACCCATGATGCAAGGATTGAGTTTGCAAATGGGGGGGCTGCGCCCCCCCCAACCCCCCCGCTTTTTTGAGCCGTGCAAGCTTGCGTCAAAGCATATGAGTCTTGTTGAAACCCATGATGCAAGCATTGAGTTTGCAATGGGGGGGGGCTGCGCCCCCCCCAACCCCCCCGCTTCTTAAAGCCGTGCAAGCTTGTTTCAAAGCATATGAATCTTTTTGAAACCTACAGGCAAGCATTGCAGCATGCAAGCATTGAGTTTGCAAATGGGGGGGGCTGCCCCCCCCCCAACCCCCCCGCTTTTGTAAAGCCGTGCAAAGCTTGTTTCAAAATCATAAGAATCTTTTTGCAACCCATGATGCAAGCATTGAGTTTGCAAATGGGGGGGGCTGCGCCCCCCCCCAACCCCCCCAACCCCCCCGCTTTTTTAAGCCGTGCAAGCTTGCGTCAAAGCATATGAGTCTTGTTGAAACCCATGATGCAAGCATTGAGTTTGCAAATGGCCCCCCCGCTTTTTTTGAGCCGTGCAAGCTTGCGTCAAAGCATATGAGTCTTGTTGACACCCATGATGCAAGCATTGAGTTTGCAATGGGGGGGGGCTCCGCGCCCCCCCGCCAACCCCCCCGCTTTTTTAAGCCGTGCAAGCTTGCATCAAAGCATAAGAATTTCTTTGAAACCCATGATGCAAGCATTGAGTTTGCAAATGGGGGGGCTGCGCCCCCCCCAACCCCCCCGCTTCTTAAAGCCGTGCAAGCTTGTTTCAAAGCATATGAATCTTTTTGAAACCTACAGGCAAGCATTGCAGCATGCAAGCATTGAGTTTGCAAATGGGGGGGGCTGCGCCCCCCCAACCCCCCCGCTTCTGTAAAGCCGTGCAAAGCTTCAAAATCATAAGAGTCTTTTTGCAACCCATGATGCAAGCATTGAGTTTGCAAATGGGGGGGGCTGCGTCCCCCCCAACCCCCCCGCTTTTTTAAGCCGTGCAAGCTTGCGTCAAAGCATATGAGTCTTGTTGAAACCCATGATGCAAGCATTGAGTTTGCAATGGGGGGGGGCTCCGCGCCCCCCCGCCAACCCCCCCGCTTTTTTAAGCCGTGCAAGCTTGCATCAAAGCATAAGAATTTCTTTGAAACCCATGATGCAAGCATTGAGTTTGCAAATGGGGGGGCTGCGCCCCCCCCAACCCCCCCGCTTTTTTGAGCCGTGCAAGCTTGTTTCAAAGCATATGAATCTTTTTGAAACCTACAGGCAAGCATTGCAGCATGCAAGCATTGAGTTTGCAAATGGGGGGGGCTGCGCCCCCCCAACCCCCCCGCTTTTGTAAAGCCGTGCAAAGCTTCAAAATCATAAGAGTCTTTTTGCAACCCATGATGCAAGCATTGAGTTTGCAAATGGGGGGGCTGCGTCCCCCCCAACCCCCCCGCTTTTTTAAGCCGTGCAAGCTTGCGTCAAAGCATATGAGTCTTGTTGAAACCCATGATGCAAGCATTGAGTTTGCAAATGGCCCCCCCGCTTTTTTTGAGCCGTGCAAGCTTGCGTCAAAGCATATGAGTCTGGGGGGGGGTGGGGGGGAGGGGTGGGGGGGGTGGGGGGGGGTGGGGGGGTGGGTGGTGGGTGGGGGGGTGGGGGGGGGGGTGGGGGGTGGGGGGGATGGGTGGGGGGTGGGGGGGGGGTGGAAGGGGGTGGGGTGGGCGGAGCGGTTGAGGGTGTTGTTTGGTTTGGAGCCTCAGCTGAGAGTTGTCTTCTATTTACTTTCTCTCTTCCCACTCGCTTTCTGCTGCTGTTGGTTACCACCACCACCCTGCTGCGACATAAGTTTCTTGTCGGGAAAGGGGGACCTCAGTCTAGAACCCCGAAGCCCACGACCTGACAAAATTCGAGGAAGATGCCAGAAAACCCAGCACGCCAGGCCATAGATGCTAAACTCCCTGCAAAACCTGCAAGCCCCAAACCCTCAACTCTGAATCGCAAAGCCGTTTCGAAAGTCCATGCACCTTCTCGGGTTTAGTGTTTTAGGGCTTCAAAAGCCCTATTAAATTACTAAACCCGAAACCCTGAACCCTAAACCCTCTGGGTTTCCCAGCAGCAGGGGCCTACAACTTTGTGTACCTTCCGATGGACTTCACTCGTGATGCTAACTTGGGCTACGCCTTCGTCAACCTCGAGACAAGTGATGCCGTGGAGTCTTGGTGTGGCTTATGGGATTTAGGACTTTCATAGTGGCACCAAACCCTAAACCCTACACCCTAAACCCTAAACCCTAAACCTTAAACCCTAAACCCTATACCCTAAACCCTATACCCTGAACCCCCGATTCACCGGCCGGCGCGTTCCTCATTTACATGACAGGGAGTGGTATCTTTAGTCAACTCGCAGAGTTGATTGCCCTTTCTCCAGGGGTACCCTACGTGTACGGGCCCACGAGTATGAGGGTGTTCAGGGGTTGTTGGGGGTTTAGGGTTGAGGGTTTAGGTTTTAGGGTTTAGGGGTTAGGGTTTAGGGTTAAGGGTTTAGGGTTTAGGGTTTAGTAACTTTTCAGAAGCGTGTATGTTCAGGTTCCTTGCTGAAGGGTTGGTGAGTGTATGTGTTGAGTGTCTTTTTGGGGCCGAAGCCATCAACCCGAAACCCTAAGGCCCTAAACCATACTTACTAAGCCCTGAACCAGTCACATCATCAAAGGGCCAGAAGGGAATACAAGTTTTTTGACGTTTTGGCCTTCCATTTGGGTGGCAGGGTCTGTGGCTTAGGGTTTGGAATTCCTGCTTTGTGTTGGGGATCCGCCCAAAGAAACCCAATAATGGTCCTCTTTTGATTCCGTGATTAGACCCTAACCCTAAACCCTAAACCCTAAACCCTAAACCCTAAACCCTAAACCCTAAACCCTAAACCCTAAAGCCCAACCAGAGCGAGGATGCCCTGTGGAAGACTTTCGACGGATTCTCCGACTGGTCACTGCCGACAGTGAAGGTTTGTCAGGCCATGGGATTTCACAGCAAAGTTCAGAGACAGAGTTCCTAGATTGGCATGTTCCCCTTATAGAAACAGCCCTTAAGAAAGCATGACAGTACCCCCTTATAAAAACCCTTATTATGGACTGCTAGTATATGGGGGAAACCCTAATGGGTTTAGGGTGCACTGAACCTGACAAGCGATCCTTGTCAGGCAGCGAGTTTAGTTTAGGTTTAGGGTTTAGGGTTGAGGGTTTAGGGTTTGGAGTTTAGGGTTTAGGGTGTAGGGTGTAAGGGTTAAGGGTTTAGGGTTGAGGGGTTTAGGGGTTTAGGGTTTAGGGGTTTAGGGGTTTAGGGGTTTAGGGGTTTAGGGTTTAGGGTTGTAAGGGTTAAGGGTTTAGGGTGAAGGGCTCAAGGTCCACAAGCTGGCTGTTGGCCAGCTTTCGATGCTTTGATCCTTGATGAAGCCCGCATGAAACCTACATGCCCTTGAAACGAAGGGAGATACATTTTTTGGGCCGAAGGGAGATCTATTTTGGGATGTTCCCTGTTAAGGATTGTTAGTATAAGGAGGAGCATCCTAATAGTTATTGTGTATATGCACCCCCCCCTTTTTTGAGGGTCCATAGATTACTACGTGAGGTAAGTCGTTCTTATAGTGGGTCCTGGGAGAGCTGAAGCCCCGGGGGCGCGATGAAGGCTTAAGGTTTTAAGGTTTTGCGTTGGGACGTACAGACTTGACTAAACCCTAAACCCTAAACTCTACACCCTGTCACAGGGCTTAAGGTTGAGGACCGCGAAGTATATTAACCCCCGAGTCCGTATGGTAGCCGCTGGTAGACTTCAAGGGCACCCGAGTTTGAGACCCTAATAAGTTCTTTAAGCCCAAACTCCAGAGCCAAAAACCCCTATTCCACAGAGGGGATAGCAATTTTGAGGTCCCAGACCTCTATAGGTTGACAGCTCTAGCTGGATATAAAAATATCAAGGGTGCTTAAAGACCCGTTTATTCTCCTGAGCACTGCAAACCCTGAATCCCCAAAGCCGAAGTCTTGAAAGCCTCAAAGCCCGAAGCACTCCAGCCCCACCTTTTTCATCACTATCTGCTCATACCGCCCATCGCCCACTAAACCATGAACCTCCGAGGTAGCAGAAGGGCTTGACCAACCAGAAGATGTATCTTTGGGTTCAGGGTTTAGGGTTTAGGGTTTAGGGTTTAGGGTTTAGGGTTTAGGGTACTGTAGTCATGGCAAGAGGTCCACATTGTCGGAACGTCCATGTACTCCAGCACTCCCTTAAACTCACGAGGTTTGGGTAGCAAGGCCCGGCCCGCGTTTCCTTTTTTTCTTGTAATTGGGTCAGGTTCCCTAAACCCGAAACCCTAAACCCTCGTAACACCAGAAGACCCTTTTCATTAGGTTACTTTGGGACCTAAACCCTAAACCTCAAAACCTACACCCTAAGCCTAAACCCTATACAAAACCTCGTAAAACAGCAGGACCCTTTTCATCTCTAGGTTACTCTGGGTTCCCTAAGCCCGAAACCCTAAACCCCTTTTAAACCCCAAACCCTAAACCCTCGTAAAACCAGAAGACCCTTTTCATCTCTAGGTTACTCTGGGACCCAGATGAGCCTTTTAAACCCCAAACCCTAAACCCTTCTAAAACCAGAGGACCCTTTAGATCTCTAGGTTACTCTGGGACCCAGATGAGCCTTTTAAACCCTAAACCCTAAACCCTCGTAAACCAGAAGACCCTTTAGATTTCTAGGTTACTCTGGGACCCAGATGGGCCTTTTTAAACCCTAAGCCCTGACCCTTTGGATTTCTAGGTTGCTCTGGGACCCAGATGAGCAGGTCTGTTGGAGCGGCCCACATCAGGGATTCCAAGCGCATGTGGATCGATACAGGACCGGCTTAGTGGGTTTAGGGTTGAGGGTTTAGGGTTTAGGGTTGAGGGTTTAGGGTTTCGGGTTTAGGGTTTAGGGTTTTGAGTTTAGGGTTGAGGGTGTAGGGTTGAGGGTTTAGGGTTGAGGGTTGAGGGTTTTTGGTTCTGGCTTTGGGGCATAGCGTTGCAGAGTGGATCTGGCAAAGGTGTGCCGCGAGTTCACATGTCTCATACGAGCCCTACACCCGTAAATCCTAAGTTGCTTTGAGTCGCAGTTTACAAGAAGCCGCCGGTTCTCCTAACAGCTGGGGGTTTATGCTTGTGAAGGCCAATCACGGGGCATTGTGCAACAGGGCAAGTAAATCCTACAAACCCTATCGACCCCACAAACCATGACACCCTATGAACCCTAAAATTAACCCCCTAAACCCTACACCGCTGGCCCTGAACCCACCCAAGGTGCAAGGAGGTTCTTTGAGTGGCTTTCTTGTTTGCCACCCCCCCCCCCCCTCCCCAACCCCTCCTGCAACCACCGGAAGTTCTCCTTCGGGGCAACTTCTGTCCAGGAACAGCCCCGTCATGCACAAGTACGTTCCGGACCACTACAAGCCTGTCATCTTCAAAGAAGGCTTTTGTACGTGAATGAGTACACCTTACGCTTTTTGGGATGGTATAATTCCCTTTTTGGATTGAACGTGTACACTGTTTTTGGGGGGCCTATGAACTCAGCAACTAAGAAGGTGTTCGCAAGCCGTTCCCGCGACCCACGAAGAAGATCAGAGCTCCGCAGATGCTCACGGGCTACTACCAGTACTAGGCCAGCTGCTCCTTGGACTTTCTTAGAGACGTCGAGACACTCACCTCAACTTCTTTGCTTTGTGGGTTATATATATATATAGACTCATATTGATTTTATTCATATTTACATTTATATCTACATATTTATGTATATACATCCCCCTCCCTCCATGATCTACCTATCCAGGTTTGAAGCCCTTTCAGCAATATGGGGCGAAGAGGCTGAAGCAGGCAGGCTCCGAAAACCTTAGATTTGTTCATGTTACTATTTAGGGTTTGGGGTTTGGGGTTTAGGGTTTAGGGTTTAGGGTTTAGGGTACTTGGCCTTTACTAGGCAGATCCTGCACTTCTAGAAACATCTGCGTTTCCAGGATTGTCTGTGCATTCTTCCGGCGTTTTTAGGCATCGCATATAGTTCCCATTTGGGTGGTATGTAAGTTGGGTTTAATTCTATTTTTGTGTTTAAGCACTTATCTAGTCAATTGTTCGTGTTTTGCTAGTATTGAACCATTTTTCAATGTATATTGGACTGTTCAATTAGTGTTCTGTTCTGTTGATTAGCCTCGTGTGCACCTACTATTGGTTCATAGCATGGGAGTGAGTTGGGACCCAAAAGCCCAACCCGCCCGCCAGGCCAATTTAAGGAGTACTAGTAGGCATTTTTCCGACCCCTACATAATATTACAACCCTTCAGGGTTCTTTCGGGCTCCTACTTCCCCGAACTCCCCGCGCAGAACCAGCAAGCCGCCCCTCAATGTAGGGTTTAGGGTGCTTCTTCCCCTAAACCCTTAACCTTCAGCCGAAACCCTTATCCCTGAACCCTTAACCCTAAACCCTTAAAAGCCCTTAACCCCTAAAAAGCCCCTTTACCCCCAAAATCCCAAACCCTCTCCTTGATAGACCCCTAAACCCTAAACCCTAAACCCCAAACCCCAAACCCTAAACCCTAAACCTTAAACCCCAAACCCTAAACCCTAAACTGCCGAGAGCGCCGCTGTCCATTTACATGGGCGCTCGAGGCTTCGACCGAGGTCCCCGACCGAGCGTCTCCACAGAACGGTGAGGGAGGGTAAAGCCTCCCGGTAGACGGGGCCTGCCGTGCCTGGTAGGACTAGGGCGTAAGCCCTAATATAATTAGCCCTGAAAATGTCTAGGCCACCACCGACGCCTCCGGGCCTGCCTTTCCTGGAACCCTTCAACTTTTATGAGCTGTTTTCATAGTTGAAAGCAGGGGCCGGCGGAGGCCCCTGCATCCCCCTACCGTTTTGCTGCCCTAAGGCGGCATGAAGCCCCGCGATCCAGAATTGCCTAAACCCGAAATGAAGATGTGGGTTTTTGAGTATTGCAATCGACGGTTTTGGGCACCCCTCCAGTTTACTCCGTGAAAGCTCTAAGAAGCCTACGAGCCACTGACAGGCCCCACAAAGCTCGGGAGGCTGCTCTTTCTCTGTAAGAAGCAAGAAAGCCCCCCTTGAAAGGGTTTGGGGGGTGAACGGTAAACCCTAAACCCTAAACCCTAAACCCTAAACCCTAAACCCTAAACCCTAAACCCTAAACCCTAAACCCTAAACCCTATAAATGAGAATAGTTTGGGTGGTTGGGGTGGGACTACATGCTAACGCAAGCGGGCGGCCCGGGTGCTTTTAGCACCAGCGAGCTTCCCTTCTATACACCCTAAACCCTAAACCCTAAACCCTAAACCTAAACCCTAAACCCTAAACCTCAAACCCTAAACCCTAAACCCTAAACCCCAAACCCCAAACCCTAGACCCTAAACCCTAAACCCTAAACCCTAAACCCTAAACCCTAAACCCTAAACCCAAACCCTAAACCCCAAACCCCAAACCCCAAACCCTAGACCCTAAACCCTAAACCCTAAACCCTAAACCCTAAACCCAAACCCTAAACCCCAAACCCTAAACGCTAAACCTACACCCTAGACCCTGGACCCTAGACCCTAGACCCTAAACCCTAAACCCTAAACCTAAACCTTAAACCCTAAACCCTAAACCCTAAACCCTAAACCCTAAACCCTAAACCTAAACCCTAAACCCTAAACCCTAAACCCTAAACCCTAAACCCTAAACCCTAAACCCTAAACCCTCACCCCTAAACCCTAAACCCTAAACCCTAAACCCTAAACCCTAAACCCTAAACCCTAAACCCTAAACCCTAAACCCTAAACCCTAAACCCTAAACCCTAAACCCTAAACCAAACCCTCTCCTTGATGGACTTTTGTTCGCGGTCTCAGGCTCGGCTCCCATGATCCAACCTAAGCTCCTTGGCAGCCCAGTGGTACCCTTTACCGTTTTTTTTTGTTTTCCTTTTATAATTATAAAGTAACCAACCATGGTTCGTAGGCTTCTAGCCCTAAACCCTAAACCCAATCCCTGAATCCTACACTGGCCCTAGGCCTTAAACCCTTATTGCAATACGGCTGCTGGGCTACCAAGGCTCACACAGCTAGTTGGTTTGCATTGGAGCTGAAGAGTCGCGCCGGACTGATGAAGGGAGGCGTATATACAGGGGCCTTTTCGGACTAGAGTGGAGAGACTTGGGGTTTAGGGGGTATAGGGTTTAGGGTTGAGGGTGGGTATTTGGGGCTTGCAATGGGTTAGTATTGGCAATTCTTAGGCTGCTGAAGTATCATCGGGCGGGGTGGAATCCCTGCCGGGTCTCGAATTTAGGACACGGCTCCCCCTGCAAAAGTTTGAAGCAACTTCCAGTTGAAACTGAGCAGTTCTTGTACAGACCGCTGCCGCGTAGCACAGCTGCAACTTGCAAACCTCCACTTGTACAGGAGATGTTGGCTGTCTCATCTCGCGTCGCTTGAGGCTGCAAGGACGGCAATCTACCTGACCAAGCGCGTGTAGGGAGACAGTGCAATGTCGCATCGTCGCTTGGACGATGCCTTGTGTACAGTTTTCGACACCGCCATGCTTGAGTTCATGTCTTCCTAGTGCGCACAGCCCTCATTAAGCAGCTTAGGCAGTGAACTTTAGCACCTGCAGTGTGGTAGAATCAGACGTAGACAGGTTGATCTATGAGCATGGCCAGCTGGAGACCACTCCACGTTCGTGTTTGCACCCACAGAGCAACATGCACACTTCCAGCCTGCTCACGAAGCGTGCTGGGAGTTTCATTTCTAGTTTTCACTGGGGTTCTCAGTAGGGCAGTTTTAACAGGTTATCACATGAGATGCCCTTATAACCGTAATCCCTAAATCCTTAGCACTGCCCACGAACCCTCATGTGGCGTCAGACGTCAGATACACCAACGACAGCCGGAGAAACTCCGGTGTCGACCACTCCATTTCGAGGCACGAAGCTCACGCCCTACAGAAAAAAGGGGTTTCGGGCCCTAAACCCTAAACCCTAAACCCTAAACCCTAAACCCTAAACCCGAAAATGGGTTTGGGGTTTAGCGGCTCTAGGGCTTAGACTTAAGGTTTGGTTTGCGGTGTAGCGCACATTCAGCTCTACTTGGGTAGCTGCCCTGAAACCTCATTCTTAGTAGTAGAGTAGGTCATAACCTTTACCCTTTTTGGGTTAGTATATTCCCCCCCTATAATCCCAAAGGTTAACCTTTAAAACCCCACCCTAAACCCTAAACCCTAAACCCTAAACCCCTAAACCCCTAAAACAACTAAGTATTAGAACCTGCTCGCCAAGAGCCAAGCCGGAGTGCCTGAACCCCCAAGGCTCCCAAAACCTTCACCCCGAAGATTCCTAAGCGCTAAACCCTAAACCCCAAACCCTAAACCCTAAACCCTAATCCTAAACCCTAAACCCTAAACCCTAATCCTAAACCCTAAACCCTAAACCCTAAGCCCCCCAAACCTTCAGGCACTGCTTGAGCGCCTGGGTACGCCGGCCGATGCCGCTTCGCGGCGTGAGACAGAGGTGCTCCGCGCCGCGTTCCCCGGCGATGCCATTGGAGCCTCTGGCATTCAGGGGTTAACGGGGTTAGGGATTTAGGGTTTAGGGTTCAGGGCTTAGGGTTTAGGGCTTAGGGTTTAGGGATTCAGGGTTTAGGGATTCAGGGGCCCAAAACCACCTAATTAAACGCAAGGATCCTACTATTCGGTATTCTACGCGTTGGAACCATGGGCCCTCAGTGTGGTCCGTGGAACCCCAGGCCCCTGAAATTCTAGAACTCTAAACTACTAAAACCCCACAGCCTCGACCCTTAAACCCAAACCTTTAGCCCCCTAAACCCCTAAACCCTAAACCGTAAGCCCCAAAATGAGACTAGTTCTTAAGATACCGAGGTTGTGGCTAGCTGCAGATTTCTGTCCAGCAGAAGCTTCTGCTTATGCCCCGCACCCGGGGCCAGAGCACGCAGGTTGCTTTAGGGTTTCGGCTTGTTTAGGAGGGGGGGTGTTAAGGTTTAGGGTTGAGGGTTTAGGGTTTGAAAGGTTTGGGGGTTTACAGTTTAAGGTTCTAGGGGTTTAGGGTCTAGTGTGTCGGGTCGTGTGCCAGCCCTCACCCGGGCACGAGTCCTCGTATGATTGTTTTTGCTTCCTTGTTCGTTGTCGGTGAATAGGGACTTTGGGTACTTCCTTATTCTCCTGTCTACTGGATGATTTTGGGAGCCTGATTCCCTAATTACTGCTTATGTAAACCCTAAACCCTGCTAAAAGAAAGCAATTGTATAATTCTAGGGGGGGGGGTGAAGTCAGGACCCATCTCGCTCGAGCCTGTTTTCATGCCGCAGCTACTGCCCAAGCCCTATACATCCTGTAAACCCAACTAAGCCCTCTCAGGGTTCAGGGTTTAGGGTTTAGGGTTTAGGGTTTAGGGTTTAGGGTTTAGGGTTTAGGGTTTAGGGTTTAGGGTTTACTCTTTAGGCTTTGGTGTTTAGGGTAAGCCGTACAAACCCTCTACACCCAAACCCCGAAACGTGCACCGAAGGCCAGAAACAGCCCCAAGCCACAAAGAAGCCTGGGGTCCATCCCTAAACCCTAAACCCTAAACCCTAAATCCTAAACCCTAAAACCCTAAACCCTAAACCCTAAACCCTAAACCCTAAACCCTAAACCCTAAACCCTAAACCCTAAACCCTAAACCCTAAACCCTAAACCCTAAACCCTAAACCCTAAACCCTAAACCCTAACAGCATGTATCGAGTCTTCCGGAGACCCTCAGTCGGCCCACGGAGTTCGGTTCTCTTACAGTTTGCCTTGCTGTTTAGGGGGGTTTGGGTTTAGGGTTTAGGGTTTAGGGTTTAGGGTTTACGGTTTAGGGTTTAGGGTTTAGGGCTTAGGGTTTAGGGTTTAGGGTTTAGGGTTTAGGGTTTAGGGTTTAGGGTTTAGGGTTTAGGGTTTAGGGTTTAGGAAGCAGGGTTAGTTTAGGGTTTAGGGTTCTGATATTAAGAGCCTTCAAAGGGACACTTCAGGGGATTGTTTAGGGTACCTGAATTCCCAACTTCTCTACTACGAGCCCGCAAGACAAACCCTTCAAACCAACAAAAGGGTATCCCTGCTTAGTCCTAACCCTAAACCCTAAACCCTAAACCCTAAATCACAAGCTTCCATTGTCATGCTGCTTCAACTTGCAGGCCGCTTCAGTTTACCGTGCTGCTTCGAACCGTTGCATTCGGACTGAAGTTGTTTTGGTTCAGGCTATCTTGGGAGTGTGTTTCACTTTTGCATAGCACACTCGGCAATGGCAAATGCAGCATCGTTCGGGGTGAGTCAGTCAACTCTGCGGCTTCTCCGGGAATGTGTGCCGCAGAGTGCCAACCCTGGGTTTTTGACTGGGGGATATGGTCGAGACCTCGACTGCTTAGAAGTTTTTTCTGGCACGGGTCATTTGACTGCCGCCCTGAGGGCTGTATCTGGGTGAGAAACAAGTATTTTTTCATTTGTGCTTTGATTCAGATAGGGGTTGCTGAGAAAGAACTATTTTTCTCAGTTGGCCAAGCTAAGCGAGGCCGAGTTCCGATGCGAGTCTTTTGATGTCAAGATGGACAGTGCAATGAATGTCCTGACGGATGAAGGCAAGAAGATTCGAAGCTTGTCTCATTTAACATGCTCCTGGAAGTTGTTCTACACCTGAAGTTGTAATGAGCCGGGGGTTAGTCAATGTCCACAGCGAGGTCTCCGACTGCTGGTTCGTGTGAAAGTGGATGGGTTGCTATGGATCGCTCCTAACTGCGGCCCATGGGTGGCAGCATGTTATGCCCAATCGTGCCTTGTCGAGCTACAAATACTCGAATAAGAAGAAGCTAATTGCAACTTAGAGGTGGCTTGAGTGTTTCCTGGTCCTGGTAGATCAGTAATTGGCAGTAGACAACTCCAAGCAGCCTCGAATTGTCATGAGAGCCTGCTGAGGCAGAGGCACGTCTGGACAGAAGGGGATGAGTCCCGGCAGTTTGTCCGGGATAGCAACCACATGGCCGATCTTTGTCCAAGTTATGACTGCTGTTTTTTCTCGTCAGACTTAGTCTGTTGCGCAGCACAGCAACATTCAAGCTGAGTGGTCAGGAGTTTGTCGCTGACCTGGTGACGCTGGCAAGCAACACTCAGATCATGGCTGTGGTCGAGCAGCCGAAAGGGTCAGCCCTGTTTGATTACTCGCCTGTGAGGGTTGCTCATCTACGGTTGTCAACAATGTTGAGTTTTGCCTGTTGGAACCTGATACTGGCTGCAATAAGAACTCGCTGCAGTTGAGGCTACCATCGATTGCTACCAGTTGCAGCGGGTATTGGTGAGAATGGGCTCATTCGGTGGCCCCACTGAGTGCCGTGTTTTGAATGGAATGATTGAATGACAGGTCTGGGGCAGTTTCGGATCTTGTGCTGCTGAGGAAGCCACTTCGCTTGGTTGGCAGTCACGTGTGGATCATGCGGGGTCTGGCTGCCTTGTCTGAGTCAGTTCCTCTGAAGCTGCAGTCCCTTGGTGGCAGGAACAAGAATGTGTGTTCTTTCATCACAGATCATGTTGCTGATCTGAACAGTTTCTCCTAGGTTTCTGGCCAGGGCAGGTGAAACTTGTGTCGAACATCGCAATGGCTGGTGGGGCGGCAGTGCCAAAATGAAGGCATCTGAGATGTACACCCGGTCCTTTGGGTCCGCTGTCCCTTGCATGCCATTGATGCATAGATATATCAGAACTCAGTCGATATTTTGTAAACCTGCCTCTGTGACATGAATCCCAGGTGGCCATGCTGCTGAGAGCATTTGAGGACACCCTTGATGTGCGAAAGCTCCTGGACAGCATTCCGAGCATGGTCAATCGGATTGCCCAAACGCTCGTTCGCCAGGACTACATCGAGTGAGTTTTGGGTTTTGGTTTGGGGCTGCAACAACAATGTCTTTCTTTGACAACTGATGTAGGTTCATGTTCTCTCAAATCGCTTCATGTCACAGGACTTGGATGGACGGATGCGGCTGCCAGAGACCAGGGAGGTGACTGTTCGCCCCATCCCGCTGGAGCTGAATATCTTCTCTTCTATGAAGGCCACTTGATGACAATGATAAGGGGGTGACGCTTTGGGGGCCTTCCATTGGGTGTCAAGTCTGTAATTTGCAACGCTTTCGCAGAAAGTCACCCATTGTTCTGGTGTTGGCCTTTTGTGAGGGTTACACCGGACACGCCACGCTTGTTTCAGAATGTTTTCTGAAATGCACATTGCATTTGGAAGGGCCACTTCCTCTGTGGGAAATCCCCAAAATACGCCTGGGATGATCTGTTCGATTTGT